TGGACGATCCACCGAAAGGAGACAACAAACGCGAAAGTCAACAGGGTTCGTTCGAATCAAGTCAAATAACGCAGGAGATCCGTGTGAGGTGTTTAAATCTTGCACATTGTCCAGTTTTTCGTTTCTACGCCCCCATCTATCATATTTTCTTTTTCAAGACGTGATATTACAATTGAGAAATAACTGCTATCAAGTTTAATTCATTACATCCATGTTTAAAAGTACGGTAGAAATAAGAAGTTCCTGTTTGAAATTTGTTTCTTCATATTCTCAAGCGGAGTCATGAAGAAAACCTTTGCTTAAAACAGATAATTACCGATGTAAAAAAGTAACTGCTTGTCGCTCTCATAAGCTGCTATGGCGCAATTGGCTAGCGCGTTCGGCTGTTAACCGAGAGGTTGGTGGTTCAAGCCCACCTAGCAGCGATTTATATTTTTCCTTTTGTTTTTGTCAGTTTCGTTGTTCCCACGATCTCCTTCGTTCATCACTCCTCTTTATTTATTTTGGGCGGAGATTTGGTTGAACCGGGACCCTTGTCACATGCATGCCCTTCTCACTATGGGTGATTGAGTCGGACTCCAGTAGTGGAACTTGTCCATTTAAAATGGTCCGCAAACAGTCTGGAAGTTCCTGTCAGCGTTCTTGCTTCGTTCATGAGCGGTCTCTTTCCAAAAAACTATAAATACAGATCAGTCTTTTCTCCTCACCCTGCTTACTAAACGGTGCCAATAACCGATACCATCAAAATGCAGAAAGATCAAGACGTTGGTATGGTGTCGATTGATCTTGGATCGAGTAATGTCATACCGTCATTTGCGGTCATTGGCGGAGGGTGATTACACTTCTTGTTTCGTTTTCCTTTCATTCTTGCCGAATTCGTTCTAACCGCAATTTTCGATTTGATCATCGCTTCAATCAGGTTTGGTGGGATCAATGCTGCTATCCAGATCAAGAAGAAGTTTCCGGGATCAGCGATCAGAATCTTTGAAAAGGCAAAGGACTTTGGTGGAACTTGGTATGATCATTTGTTGATTCATTATGATTGTGATAGACTAGATCATAACATTCATTTATTGCTGATATAAAAGGTACTGGAATCGCTATCCTGGTTGTGAATGCGACATTCCAAGTCATTTTTACAGCTTGTCGTATGAAATGAGAGCTGGTAAGTTGTTGTTACTCTCGATCATGATCCAATTCGATAAATCATAATTCAAATCTTTTGCAGACTGGCCTCGTCATTACTCTGGACAATCCGAGATCAAGGACTATCTTTGTGGAGTTGCAAAGAAATACGGCCTATATGATATCGTCAGGTAATGCACAGTGCAAACTTTGGGAATTTGGTTTTACTTGGTTCGCTTTCATACCCAACCTTATTTACCAAACCCATTCCTATCGCCCTGAATAGTTTCGAGACAACAGTTACCAACCTTAAATGGGATGAATCAACAAACACCTGGCAAGTTACCACAGTCTCACCCAACACCAAATCAACACCAACCACAACACCCTACACATTTGTCTTTGTCGCTAACGGTCCATTACACGTTCCCAAGATCCCCGATTTCCCCAATCTCTCATCATTTAAAGGTCCCGTTTTCCATTCTTCCCAATGGAAGAACGATGTCGACTTCAAGGATAAAACTGTTGCTATTATTGGTACTGGTGCTAGTTCTGTTCAGATTGTTCCGAGGATTATCAATGATATGGATGTGAAAGGGTTGGTTGTTTTTCAGAGGAGTGCCGCTTGGGTACCTCCCAAAGTTCAGTATGAGTATTCAAAAGTTGCGAAATGGTGAGTTTAGTATTTCGTAGATGTTGCGGACGGTCTTTTTGATAGCATTACGTTTTCGTTTCTTGCGACTCTTTTGTTCCCAATTTACAGGATCTTTGAACATGTTCCATTTGCTTGCAGACTCTGGCGCAACTTTTTGATCATCGGGGTAAGCCCTTACATTCACTTTTATGATCATATGGAGAAATGGAATACTCACCTTTCAAACCTTCGAATACAACAGACCGAACTTCGCTACCTCGCCTTCCTAAAACACAGTCTTGTCGCGATGCTGGCTCAATTCCTAGTCTTGCTCACAATGAAACAACACATCAAAGACACAACCTTACGTAAAAAACTCACACCCAAATACCCATTCGGAGCATTACGGGTCACACCATCAAACGAGTTCTATCCATCATTGGCAAACCCAAAATCGACAGTTGTCACGGACACCATTGACCGATTCACCGAATCTGGGATCACCGTTCGTGATGAAAACGGTAACGAATCTCATATCCCTTGTGACATTGTCATCATGGCAACTGGGTTTGACGTACAACATGGATTTGGTGATTTAAACATCGTTGGTAAAAGTTCATTAAATCTTGTCGATCAATTAGGTGAAACCCCTAAAGCATTTAATTGTACAATGTACCCCAATTACCCCAACATATTTCACTTGTTGGGTCCTAATTCCGGGTTTGGACATTTCTCCGTGGTTCATGTAACTGAATGTCAAATGTATTGGAGTTTGAATGTTATTAAGAAGGTTTATATGAGTGAGAAGAGGGGGAGGGTTGAGGTTAATGTGGGGGCTTTTGAGAGGTTTAATGAGATGATTCAGAGGGGATTAAAATGGACGGTTTGGGATTTGTATAAGAAGAGTTGGTATGCGAATGAGAAGAGGGAGAATTTTGCGTTGTGGCCTTTTACGGCGAGTTATATGTGGTGGTGGTTTTCAAAGAAGGTTAAAGGTAGTGATTTCATTTAGATGTGTGGTATTCTTTTTCTTGCATTAATCTTGGTTTGATGATCTTGTCGGTTTTGATATCGTGTGTTAGCGTTTCGATTTCATTTATATATGGTTTCTTTTTGCTACAATCTTGGTCTCTTAAAATTAGGTATTTTTAATGCAGTCTGAAAATTAGCTTTCTTTTGCTTTTTTATGAATATTATGAATAAAGTAGCCCGGTGTTGATCGCATTTGCTTCTTTCGTTATTGTTAGCGACGAAACTTTACCGAGAAAAAAAAAAAGAAAAGGAAAGTAAATCTCATTACCGGCACGTAGCGTGAATGAATGCCTTGATCAAGTCAGGATTAAAACTACGACGCTCAAACAATTTGCACGTCCGGCGACCCTTTTATTTTGTTTGGAAACCCCTCCATTATAAATTAACAAGAAAGAGCTCAAGATTTTTATATTAAGTTTTTAGTGTCAAAGAAATATGGAAACAAACCCAACTGAAACCACAACAGCTAGGACTTTGAAAGCAAGTTAAGTAGTCGTTCAATATCTGGCGAAGTAGAGGGATATGTACAACGTAACTTGTAGTCTTAGCAATGTATCAAGGCGTTGAAGTTTACTGGTAATACCGATGTGAAACCGAAACTTATAACAGCTGACGTGCTCACCTTCCTCTCGTTGATAAACTATTACTTCACCAAAAGATTAGCAGTCTCTCATTGTGGCTAATTTCAAACAGTGCCGCACATAACATTCACAGACTGTCAAGTTCGAGATGGTGACCTTGTTTTAACGGGATGAAGGACAGATGTTAGCTGGGAACAAGTAACCACGACCAAGTCATTTTTTTTTCAAGGTCAGATTAGCTAGCACATGCATGAGCAACTTTCCGAGGCAGTTTACAAGATAACTGGACCTCGGCTGACCTCGAGGTTTTTTGCACCTGAAAGGACAGATCGTGGGCAGTATGACAATGTGTAGGTCGATGTCTGAGTGATGTCTTAGACCTCACAAAGTGGCGATTTATGAAGATTGAGTGTGGGGTCTTAGATTTCTGAACCCTTCCAAAACGTCGTGGCCCAATGGTCTAGAAGTATGATTCTCGCTTTGGGTGCGAGAGGTCCCGGGTTCAATTCCCGGTTGGGCCCACGTTTATTTTTTTTTGTTGGTTTTTAGTTCTGGCATGAAGGAGAAGCGATTGCAGAACGTTTGGTTCTTTTTCGTGGGTTTCAGACCGTTTTTTATTACTTTGTGGATATTGACACGTATTTTTCGTACCCTCCGTCGATAACGCCGTTGATGGCGCATCGAATGGTGGTAGTTTGAGGTCTGTACGATGTGTATTGATTGTGTACGGCGTGGCCAAAGTATGTCGATCCTGTGTGGTTTTAGTGTAAGTTTTAGATTGACAAAAATCAATTGAAAAAATTTACTCCGCGACCTTTTTTTTTTTTTATTTTTGAACGAGCACACACAATAGAAAGACATTGAACAACAACGAATTGACCTCATTTCGTTTGCCAAAAAAACATTCTCAGTTTAGCGAACCACTGCGTCCATCATTAATTTGAAAAAAAAAGATGGCACAATTAATGGGAAACTTCATACGATGGTATGTTGCGCTCGTACCTCTGGCGTAAATGTTTGTAGGCGTCGACATCGTCTGAACGTTTTCTAATTCATCCCTTTATCCAATTTACTCAAA